CACATCCTCCATTCTCCTTTCCCTCACAGAGTATGCAGAAGGAGAGTAGCACCACCTACCTCCACCAACACCTTTTCGAGATCTCTATCGCCTGGCTGTCATACCAGGCATGGTCTGTCCATGGATGCAGGCAGACCTTACTTCCAGATGCTGATTACCATGTTCTTAACAATTACTCTTCTCATTCTTCACCATACTCCAAGTAAAGGAACTGCATTTCTGGGTCTTCCTATGCTGTGTCCTGGAGGTGCACTCTTACCTGTGTAGGTGATCCTTCCAAATATTAAGAAAAGGTGAGGAGTCACCCTTGGATTCACCTCCAATAATTTCTTTATGCTTTATCCCGAGTAGATGTCAGTGCTCAGCCCTTCCTCTTTTCCTGCAGCCTTTGTTCTTCAGCACTCCACAAGCAACTCTGTCCCACCTCACAGGGCCTGTATTTATCCTGAAGAACATGCCAGTTAGGGCACTAAGTAAGAATCAATGGCCCTACCTGGTCCCCAGCCCTGAATTTTTGATGTACTAAGTACTTGCAGATTTGGCTGACTTTGGAGCTGCTATGGTTCAGGAGTTTGGCCACCGGTCTTCCAATGAATAAACCAACACAGCTACCCAGACCTGAGCTTACATTCATCAGCCAAGCGAAGGGAATTAGTCATATTGACACCAGATGAGAATCCGGCCCTAAAATATCTGTAAGACAAAGAATGGAAAGCTTTCATAGATATTCTATTTAATGTTTTGTAAACTTTCCTGCTATGTTGCTAGGGGGATTTTAATACATCAACGTATTTAAAATAGATCTCAGTGAGATGTTTGTAATTGGAGCCAATTCGTCCTCCACCCTGAACTTCCTTATTGTTCCTGTCACCGTTTCATCTCTCTCCTCTCTGTAAAAGACCTTCTTGCTGACCCACTTCCTGCCCCTGTAGCAGTACTAGGAACTGCACAAGGAATCCTTGTTTTAATGCACTTAGACGCTGACATTGCATTTTCAGCCAGCCAGGCTTCATCTGGAGAGTAGAGTTCTTGCGTTTCCTGATGTGAGTCAGTTGTGAGGAAAGTGTTTAACCTTTTTGTCAAAGGTTAAACATATAAAAGGGGAATGTGAAGCCCTTGTATTCCTGTTGTTGCCACATTAAAGAGAGCAGCTTTCACAGCTCAGCTAAATCCTACTTTTCTGGAGGGATATTTCTTTCTGTATCTAATTCAAAGCTGCAGTTTACTGCACTTGTTAAGGAAGGTGTATGATTGAACAGGACTATAAGACAAGGTCATTCATTGGCTGTTTCCGTTGGTGTTTTTAATTTAACTAATCCTCTTTGCCTTTCTCAATGGATTTGAAGAGGCTTGGACAGGCATTTGTGTTAAGTGAGCCAATCAGAATTTTTTAAAATGGTTCATTCCTATAAAATATAAAGAACTTCAAAGAAAAATAAACAGCTTGAAAGCAAAAGAATTTGTCACTACTTGTTCTTACTGATGCTACATTATTTTAATCCATTTTTCTCCACTGCTTGGCTGAGTATACTGATTTCTTACCTGTAATTATCAAGACTAGTGACTTAGCTATGTTATCTACAATAACATACCTCTGACTAAATACTTAATAGCATACTCTTGTCATGATCCAGATGACTCTGTCAAAGAGCTCATTCCAATTTTACACTGTATGTTGCCTGCTTCTGTCCTTTGTGAAACATAGGAACACAAACCTATTTTTGTTTAGAGATAATTCCACAGGTGACCTGCAGGTTGTTCTGCACCAATTGCACCACTGACAATTTGTTGATTATCTTTATGGCTGGGTCTGAAATACCCCATTGTAATCAACTGACTATGATTTTGCAAACGAGCCAGGAACAGAGTCTACAGTAACCAGTAACTGCAGGTTTGCTCTTGAATCTCTGTTGCTCAAGGCCTCCGTTTCAGCAGATAATTAGATCTTTCTTCCCTGCTCTGGGTTCTTCTGCAGCTCTCTAGGATTATGTCAAAAGCTCCACACAAGTTTTTCTGGGCTGGAAAGATAGAGTCTTGAAAGGGAAAAGAGTATAAACAAAAGACAAAGGATAAAGAAAAATTAGAAACGTCATTCCCAAGGGAGTGTTCTCGACAATCTGTTAACTTTGCATTGGCGGGTTCATAACTACTTCCAAAAAAATGTCACAAACTCTTAGCAGAGCAGCTTGAACCTCTGCTGCTGAATTGAAGGAAATTTGTTCTAAAGAAAATACATCCCATGAAGTTAACTCAGAATACAGGATCAGCCAAAAACAACACCATGGAACAGGAATTCCTTCATTTTAACAATGCCATAATCTCATTGCAGGCTAAGCAGTAACATTAGAAACTGCACATATAACACTTTCCCTTACAGTTGAAATTCAGCAGTGGTGACTTTAAAAAAAATTCCTAAAAACAATCTCAATCTTCAGCCTGGATACATTTGTTTGACTAAGAGGATTTATGAGTTAACCACTTACAAAATCCACTCAGTGTAGTGTTAAGATTCCTATGTTTTATTCCAGGCATATATGTAAGGTGTTATTCAAAATACATTGTAAAATAGTTCAAAGATGACACTGTGAGTGCTGCATGACCTGTGGAGGAGAGCTGATTTTCCCTTGCTCTATTATGTGCTCATCACTGTAGTTCTGCCTCCTTCAGTAAAGCAAACTCAATCTGACCGTGCTTTCCCTTATTACATCACTTTCATTGAAAGGACAAAAGTAACCACTGTCAATCCTACTGTCGAAAATCCAGGCACTACCTTCCACAGTTTTTCATTTACATTACAATTAAGTGCTATTTCACTCCAAAAACTAATTCCTTGCAAAGTTAGGGTAAAAGAGGTCTGTGTGAGTACTTCCTGTGCTCTGGAATTAGTGGTGGTACAACATGAAGGCAGACATAGCACAGAGCAGTTGCATGGTCACTGCCATGGCTCCTGGCCTGCAGTCATAGCTATGACCTCCTCTATGCTCCTGTATGAAAGGATTTTGAGGAACAGACCTGATTGCAGATCAGTAGGACAAATACAGGCACACAACAGCTCTTGCTGTTTGCCTGCTACAGAAGGAATCACTGCACCAATACATGCAATTCCTGCACGTTGCTTCTCTGAACTTCCTGCACCTCCATGTCACTGAGGCTCCAATAGAATCATAGAATGGTTTGGGTTGGAAGAGACCCTAAAGACAGATCATCCAGTTCCAACCCCCCTGCCATGGGCAGGGACACCTTCCACTAGACCGGGTTGCTCAGAGCTCCATCCAACCTGGCCTTGAACACTTCCAGGGATGGGGCATATATAACAGTAATCCAGGCATATACCTGAGCTGGAATTTGTTCCATCTAACTGAATGTCTGAATTAGGAGGGTAGTAACTCCAGTTGCTCTCTGTTAGTTGTTCAAGATGTTGTGAATCTATGTCTACAACATAGACTCTGATATTAGCAGGTCTTTTGGGCAAGGGACCAGTGAGGGGCAAGAACAGGCTGTTTGTTTGAGCAGGGATCTTTTCTGCCTTTCTTCCACCCTACTCAGATCCACTGCCTAACCAGATCCTGAGATATTGGACAAAAAACCCCACCAAAACCCAAACAAGACAACTAAAAAGGGTTCCAAAGGTATTTTTCTTCTGTAAATCTCAGATTTGTAGAAATCTGGTTCAGGCATCTCAAAGATAGAAATTTACTAGAATGATAGAAAGTTGGGGTGTATACTAGGGAAGGGAAAAATAGGATGGTAAAATCTACACTGTTATTTCTTCTAGGACAAGAGGCTTCACAGGGAGACAAGTCTGTTTGAAACAAAGTGATTACTTCTGCTGCTGTCACTTGGAACAGTGCAGGCAGTATCAGAGCCTCCACCTTCATTCAGCTTAAATAATAATTCAATCTTTTTGTTCACGGCATCTGTACATCCTCCTGTATTTAGCCATAGAATACCCTGTGCATATTTGTCAGTGACACAGATGTTTTTTCCTTATAGACATAGGACAGTTTCTAATCTATTTCAGATAGAAAGATGAATTGGAACTGAATTTGAAATGAGAGAACCTGGGCTCATTTCCCAATTCTACTGTGTACATCTTGCAGTCTTGGGCAAATCTTAGCTCTGTCTGTTCTGAGCTATTTGGGGCAGGCACTTTCTCATTTTCTATCCATACATGCAGTGCTTAGCACAAAGGGGACTCCAGCCACTCATGAGTAAGCAGTAACAGATGGTTTTAAGTTGTCAGTGTGACTAGGTATTCCCACTCTGATAATTTTTGTAGCAATTTTCATCTTTTAAGAAATCTTGCCAATGGGCCAAAACTGGAGATATGTGAAAGAAAAATTAAATGCAGGAGTCCTTTTTCAAAATATCTCTTTTTCAGCTCTAAAATACAGAAAAGACTTTTCACTGTGGGAACAGAGACACATTGGACATACTGGCAAAGTCCTGCTAAAGCCAAATGTCAATGCTGTGCTTAGTTAAATCCATGGTAAGCTTGGCTTTTTGACTTCCATAAATGGAGTAAAGAACTCTTTTGGGACAGATATTTCCTTAATCTCTTACTTGCATTCACTCAGATGAGCTTTTCACAATTAGGAGTTTCCCCATTTGGCAGTACTTCTGCATTGTCACAGGCAGAGATGACATAATGAACTACTCTTACGCATTTTCTTGAGCTCTTCTGAGTAAAAATAGTGACCCTCAGCTTTAATCTTTAGAACTTCGCGTCTCAGTGCAGCTATTCTGATGGCGAGGGTGAGCAGATCTGGCTAAAGCAGGAAACAGATGCATCCTCTTATTCTTAACATAAATTTTTGGGGTTTATTTTTTGGTTAGCTGCAGTCCTAATCTCACTTTTGATCGAGTGCAGAGGAAAAGAGTAATTAGTGAAGTATTAGTGTTATTATTATTTCCTGACATTAACTCTCCTGCTACTTGTCCATCCTTTTTTCAGGCCCAGCAAAATGGTGTGTGGCTTTAACAGCTGAAGAGCTTTTTTTATTGCTGGTCCCTCTCTGTGCTCTGAAGTTCACTCTACTGAGCTACGTGGGTGGTAAGTGCCTTAGAACAGTATAGCTTAAGCAGGAAGTGGAATATGTTTTATTAGTGTAGTTTTTGTAGTTGAAGAACTGTTTTCCACTTTTTTTCCTCTGCAAAGCAGATACAAATATAGTTTATAACAACTACATTATTGTATAGCAACATATAATAACTAATTTCTATTAATATGACTATTTGATTTTAAAATTAATGAGTCAATTTTTAACACGACTCTGAATGAGTTAAAATTGCAATTTGGCTTAAGCTAGGCACAAAAAGAGAGGAGTTGATTTACCAGACATCACAGCCAGGATACCAGTCCCTCATCTTTTGAAGGTGAGACCTACAGCTAAGCACAGAAGTTTCTTCCTCCCCGTTGCCTTCCATGAGCATGAGTTCCCCAGCATTTCTGACACCTCTTTACTTACCCTATTGTAAGAAGCCTAATCCTTTTGTCATTTGTTGTGCAGCAGGCTGTACAAGCACATCCTTCCCTCCTAACATCTGGTCTGGACAGATACTCCAGGGACCATGAGGAGATGCAAAGTGGGGTTTTTTCCCTCTCCCTCTTTCTCTGTCTTTTTTTCAGCTATTACATAATAGTTGATTTTTTGGCAGTTGTAGTGATCCCTGGTGAAAAGTTTTAGTTCCCTAAGCAGTAATGATAGTACTTCAGACCATATTGCAAACATTTATGTAATTTTTTTATACAAACCTGTTGTATGTGTACCTTTTTAGTTACCGTGGTCATTGTTCTCAGTATATCATAAATCTACAGTGTAAGATAGTTATGAAAAGATATTCCTCCTGTATATTTTATCTTCTTAAGAACAAGAAATATATTTTGAAGGCAGGGCTTTCTAAGAAAAGACAGGCTTTTATTTAAAGCATCTCTGTGTTCAAGCAGAGATAATCATTCAAGAGGCAATCTAGTCCATTTCCATAAAGGGACTTCAGACCTTTCTTCATCATAATAAATTGTCTGATCAGCTGCTTTTAATTTATTTTGACATTTTATTTAAACCTACGATTACAGGTTAGAATCATTATGGCCACTGAGGCATATTCCGTTTTGAGGCAAGTTGGTGAAAATCAAGGAAACAGAGCAATCATATGTGCTTGCAACATTTCTGGATGTTTACCTTCCAGCATCAGGGCCAAACACAAGTAACTGCTCTACGAACGGGCTGGGAGCTCCAGCCTACATGTGGCAAAGTGGGAAGTGCACAGCTCTACAGCTGTTTTTGTGCAGTGCAGCAACAGCCTTCCCTGGGAGGAGGCACTGTGACTGTCAGCTGTTTCTTTCACAGGGTAAGTGGGTATTCCTCTCTCTTAGGCATCTGCTTGAGCAGTGGTGAGACACGAGGGGTAGCTGAAAAATAGCTACGCAACATTGGATCATCATCATTTCTTAGACTGTTGAACAGGAAGGGAAACCACTCTCTTCCACACTGGCATGCATTTTGTTATGTTCATTGCTCAGAGATCTATTGCAACTCCTAGTTAATCCTTTCAATCTCTTCTGTCCCCATGAAAACGTTGGATGGAAGAGAATAATGACATAATATCATAGAGTCATCAAGATGGCAAAAGACCTCTACTATCATGAAATCCAACTATTAACCCAGCACCACTGTGTTCACTACTAAATCATGTCCCCAAGAGCCACACCCACATGTTTTTTGAACACTTGTTACCTGGGAGAAGTAACTGACCCCCACCTGGCTACAGCCTCCTTGCAGGAAGTTGTGGAGAGTGATAAGGTCTCCCTGAGCCTCCTTTGCTCCAGGTTAAACAATCCAGCTCCCTCAGCTGCTCCTTATAGGACTTGTGCTCTGGGCCCGTCACCAGCTTTGTGTCCCTTCTCTGGACATGTCCCAGCACCTCAATGTCTTTCTTGCAGCGAGGGGCCTGAAACTGGACACAGTATTCATGGTGCTGCCTCACCAGTGCCGAGTACAGGGGGGTAATCACTGCCCTAGCCCTGTTGGTCACACAGTTTCTGATCCAAGCCAGGATGCCACTGGCCCTCTTGGCCAGCTGGACACACTGCTGGCTCATGTTCAGCTGCTGTCCACCAACGCCCACAGGTCCTCTTCCACTGGCCAGCTTTCCAGAAGCTCTTCCCCCTGTAGCACTGCATGTGCCCCATAGGATACAAGTTGCTATATTTTCTAGCACTGCCCAGAGGGTTATTCTATGTAGCGCCCCCATTTTTCTGCCTCTTCTTCCTTGTTTTCTAAAGGAATATTGATTATGGCAAACAATGCTGATTTCAAACCGAAACTACCAAAGGAAGCTTCTATGCAAATCAGTGTGTTTAAAATCAAATCCAAAATAGTTCTCAACAGAAACTGTTCAGTTAATCCAAGTATTTTAGTTTAGATTACTAAACTTAATCCATCTAAACTGATTTAGGGAATCCATCCGGAGGACCTGCCCATTTTTGCAGCCATAGTTTTGTTGAGGAACTCCGATCTTTTAGACAAGACATTTCTAAGAGAGATAAAATTTTTGTGATCAAAATGCACCTTTTTGTTTTCTATAAGCCTGTAACACTCACAGCGTGCTCAGTATTTTGGGGGTGTGATAACACGATGCATATTGGAAAGGCCTCATGTTACATCATTTTTGGTGATTGAAAATAAAAATTCTTGAAATGGGTGGAGAAACAATTGTTACCCTGCCACCCTGAAATGATAAATGCTTGGAAAACTCCCAGAATGATATTGAAGTGCCTAAAAAGTAAATATTTATTCTGCACACAAATCTTTAAATCTGTCAGTAGCTGAATTTGATTATTTTCATGTTGGTTTCTATTATTTGACTGGGTATTTGCAGACAGATGGCCTCTTATAGTGTTAATAAAAACAACTTATGTAGAATGATTGGGCTGTATAGTAATTGGGGAAATACTGAGGATTAGGAAAGAGGATAGCCTGCCAAAACCTAGTGTCTGTTTATACACATTTAATTCCTTCTTATAGCAAATTAAGCTTTTCTTCTTCAGGCATGTTCAGTTATTCTGATCAAGTAAGGCTAGAGTTTGGTAAACGGAGGAATTGAGGTTTATAGGTCAAACTCATCTTCCTGTGATGTTTCTCTGGTATAACAAAGAAAAGTATATTTTTGAGTTTGATTTTAATAGCCAAAATCCATTTACTTTTGAATCTGTGTCAGCAAATCTCTAAAATGATATGAACTCCAAATGATGCAAGAAAAGCTGGGAAGGAACTAAGCTGTGAATAGACCTAACCAAAGGCAACAAACAAAGTTTTTTCACTGTATATTCCTCCCCCAGTCTTCCTTTTGCTTTGTACTGTAGCATCCATAGTACTTCTGTTTGTTTAAGATCTTCTTAAATCACAAACTCCTGTGTAGTAAAAAGGTAAATAAGGAAAGTTTAACAAATAATCAAACCAGTTAAAACTTGTTACAAAATCAGCACAAATATTTGGTGAACTTTACCAAGATGTTTTAAATTTGTTGAGAATATATGACATGAAAAAAACACCTCTGCTTTTTCAATAGTGCAATCAGCTTCTTCCCTCTCTTTGCGTGAAAGAAAAATATGACCAGCTTTCTCTGCTTTAGGTTTTTATATGGCTCTTGAATGAATATGCAAAATTTAGCCTATAAGCATGAAGCATTTTGAAACACCCATAGACCAGTGAGCTGCAGCAGGGGAAATAGAGAAGCCTCCCCAAACCTACTGTGGCAAAGAATTCTATTAGCTAGAACTGTGGGGGAACTGAAAGTCAGATTCTTCCTTCCTGATCACAGAGATTTGCAATGTGGCTGTCTACACCTGAGATAGTTCTCCACATATCCTTGAACACCAATACAGAGAAAGAGGCACTTTTAGGATGTTGTCTGCCCAGCTGCTTGTGTCAGATGAACTGCACTGTACCAACCAAGTGGCCTTTTATCTCTGTGGACAGTTGAAGGAATCTGCAGTGACTATTCAGACACAGCTACCCCCATTGCAGGTACCTTTGCTTGGTCATTTGCATCCCACCCCAGTTGCCTGCTGGTTGATGGTGGTTCTGAAACCCACATCATATTGATGCTTGTGCTGGAGCAGACTGGTCTTTCCCCTCTTGGCTGTTGATGCCGAGACAGAATGCATCCTGTGATGAAAGGAAAGCATGCACAATGCAGTTCAAAGTGGCAAAACTGTTTGCTGAGCTGGCAGGAAATTTAATTTAGCACATGGGACTTTATGTTGAAAAGATTAAATGTTCTTATTCAGATGAGAATGAAAGCCTTGTGATTGCCTTATCAACTGAAACATGTGTAGGGCTTCCAGTAACGGGACTATAAAAGTACTGATATACTTGTGCACTTTACAAAGGTCTTCCTAGTCCTTCCTCTTTCTCCTCTGAAAATGGTTTAGCTAAGACAGGATGATTGCCTCTACTACTGGCATAACCTCACCTAGTTTGCAGTTTATCATATTACTGATCCAATTTCAGCTCAACAGTGTCAAATGGGTGGGGTGCAGACAAGGGAATATGAGGTCAGGGCAGGCTGAGAAGTTCCCTCTCTCTTGCTTTTTAGTTTCTTTTTCCCTAAAATTCTCCAGGCTTTCATCAAATGATTCTGGTATTTGTGAGTCTGAATTAACTTTTGAAGAAAGAAACATCTATATTTTGGTTCTTGGTGAATTGTGTACTTTGTCATAAAAAGTATCAATGTCAGGGTCTAACCATGTAGATATGATACAAATGACTATATTTTTACATCCCAGAACTCTGAGCTGCAGATTGGATGCTGCAGAAAACCTGGTGGAAAGACCCTGGGAAACCATTACTACATGCTTAACATGCTGTTATTTTCTTCTCCTTTTATTCCCTAGGGTGCTGCTATTGGCCATTGTCATTTATAGGATATCAGGCTAACAGGAGGTTAGATATCATCTCTCAGGCCTCACTTCCTGCAGAACACAAACACCTGCCACTGTAGCAGAGCTGTCACTTATTTGCCTGGTTGAGTTCCAGTGTGGCCAGTCCT